CATCTGCCCTGCAGCTGTTTTATGGCAGCAACTTGTGTCAGTGGTTTATGTCATGTTTGATCTGAGGATTTAGTCTATTCCTTTTAGTTTCTTTAAGGTTCCATCCATCCATTTTCTGTCATGCCGTGTGTGAGGGCTGCTGGTACCTATCTGCAGCTGTCTATGGGAGCTGGTTGTTTGGAGACAAACAACCATACACACTCACACCTAAGGAGAATTTAGAGAAGCCAATTAATCTAAAAATCATGTTTTTGGACTATGGGAGGAAGCCGGGGTACCCAGAGAGAACCCATCCATGCTCAGGGAGAGCATGCAAACTTCATGCTGAAAGATCCCGGGCCGGGAATCGAACCCGGAGCCTCTTGCTACCCACTTCACTACTGTGCAGCCTGTTTTTGGAAAACTGTGGAATGTAATCGCAATATTTTCCAGTTCTAATAGGGAAAAAAAGTATGAACATGTTTATTTTTAGACCTTACTTCCTATTCCACTGTCTCAGATGTGAGTCTCTTCTTGTATCCTCCTAATTTAGTAATATCTGCCATAAATTCTGTTTAATCTTGTTTCATCTGTCTGTGATAGAGGACTGAGAATACAGGAAATTTCATTGGAGGACATACAGGATGTTTTCTTGAAAACTACACTTCAAATGATACCATTAAGTAGATTTGTTTTATTGTTAAAAGACTAAGTTTGCCAGATGATAAAACAGACTGGATGATGAGCAAGGAGGGTAAAGCTCTTCAGGCTTCACTTTAGCTGCAGCACTGAAACCAAAAAAGAAGGTTTAAAAACCTAACAAGGCTTTGCTTAATTATTGGCTGTCCTGTGGACAGACTTTGCCTCAAAGATCTTGGAAATAGCATAAAGGTGTCATCAAATAAAGAGAGGAAACTTTCCAAAGCAAAAGAAAATATGCTACTTGTTTTTGCAGTATGACTTAAAGTTTGGCTCAAACTTCAGTTGGATCTATTTTTTAGTGGTTATAATGTTTTTTTGTTTTGTTTTTTATCAAGGTTAATGTTTTCCATTTTGTGTGTTTTATTAAACTACCCTGAGATGACATTTGTTTTGAATTGATGCTTTCGTTTACATTTTTGCAATTTTTAAAAAGACATAAAAAATTCCAGTAAAGACTTGTTGTGCTTTTAGGTGTTTGTATTTGATGTGGGAGGGAAGACATGGAAATCCTACAACTGGAGCATGGTGACAACAGTGGCAGCCTTTGGGAAGTATGACACTGAGCTCATGTGTTTTGCTCACTCCAAAGGAGCACGAGTTGTCCTCAAAGGTGGGATCCCATTGGTTTGCCAAAACGCCATGAAAGTCCACATTTTTGATTGACTGTTAGAGCATTTTTTTTTTTCTTGAATGTGCTTCATTAACCTAATTTATTGACCTGTTATTGATATTTCTGCTATCTCGGTTGTGGACGCATAGGTGACATTCATGTTCCCTACATGGTGGACCAGGCCAACAGAACCGCGTGGATCAAAGAACAGGTCAGTTTGGCAAAGAAGCAGTTTATGGATGGGATTAACATCGACATTGAGCAAGCTGTAGCAGACGGCTCACCTGAGTACTACGCTCTGACAGCTCTGGTCAATGAGACAACAGAGGCCTTCCACAAGGAAATCCCAGGTTCTCAGGTAAGAGAATAAGACGCTTCATTAATGGACTGCAGAAATTATTCACTATTAATGCTTAAACCATTTCCATTTTGTTTCCTGATTTTTTATTTTATTTTATTTTTTTAGGTTTCATTTGATGTTGCCTGGTCACCAAATTGTATCGACAAACGCTGTTACGATTATGTCAGCATCGCCAAATCCTGTGACCTGCTGTTTGTGATGTCCTACGATGAGCAGAGTCAGATCACTGGCGATTGCATCGCGATGGCAAACGCTCCTCTCAATCAAACTCTTAAAGGTCTCTGGGTCAAGATGCACATCTAGGATTGGGAACCACTCAGCTTGGTAATGGGAACTAATGGGATACTTTTTATCTGTCCATTTTAGCCTACGATGACTATTTGGATCTGAAGATCAGTTCGATGAAGTTGGTGATGGGGGTGCCTTGGTATGGCTATGACTATCCATGTGTTAATCTTTCTCAGGTACTCTCATATTTAATGGAAAGCTACACACTTTAAGAGTAATAATTATGAGTAATATTTTGTGCTTGATAATTATAGTATTATAAGTTACTGATAAGCATTTTACAGAACATGTTATTCAAACATTGGGTCGGATTAGCATAAAGTAGGATTTCTTTTTAATTTGTTTTCTCTAGCAGATTTTAAATCTGAGCCATCTAGCAGAGTTAGATTTTATTTTATTTTCCAGAGTTTAATAAGTATTGTAAATAATGCGTTTAATATATTTCCTTTTAATTGCTTCATCACATCTTTCTAGGTCTTACAGAATTTATCATCCCCAACATTTCATTACATTAGGAAAACAAACCTCAGCCTGCTGTATTGCCATTATATGTCCAACGCCAAAAAACAAAAACAAAAAAAAAATTGCAAAAGGAAAAAGCTTTTCATTAGATTTTAAAATGTTTTGCTTAAATTCAAAATAAGATGTAGATCACTGATTCCTAACTGGGGGTACTTGTACCCCTAGTGGTCCGTGAGTGCATTGCAAGGGGTACATGAATATATTTTATTTCTTAGGTAGGAAAATAAAAAAGGGCGGGGATCTGCTTTGTTTTGTGAGGACCTAATTGAAAAATCAAACAAGCTTTTATACCCCAAAAAGTACGTTTTTCTTTCAAAACGAGGCAGAGAAACAGACCGGATGTAGAGAACAGCCTGGTATCAGCTGTTTTTCACACTAAGCTATCGGAGCTCATAAAAGCAGCACAGGGGAGATGGTAATATTGTTTAGACCGTAATATTTTCATACAGTAAATGTTTTTTAAAAAAACTGTAAAATGTTGCAGAAGATAGGTGCATAAATACACATGCATGATGAAATAAAGTACAACAGTAAACACTATATGCATATAGGCAAGATTTAAACAAGATGAGAAAGTATTCACTTTTTTTACTGTCATCTCATCTCTGGGTTTTTAAGCTGCATGTACTTCTACCTCTTCAGGCTGCAGCATCAAAGCAGCAAAATAAACTCTGAGAAAGATGCACATCTGCTCATAATTAAAGCATTTTTCACAGGAGTAATTTTACTCTTAATGCTCCTCTGTATTCCTCTCAGACAGAGGAGCTGCTCTTCTGTCTAATTCTGTTTTCTCCCCATATTTTCCTACATTTTGTGTCAGATGTTTATAAAAACTATTTCACACAAGCAGCTTATCATTATCAAATGCCTATAGGCGAATCAAACATGTAAAGAAAACATAAGGAAAATAAAGCGATGAGGTTTTGCAACATTTTGATCCTGTGTGACAACTATTTGTTTTTGCTAAATTTGATAATCATGAGACCCATTCCATAATCTAGTCCAAATCCCATAATTGTTCATTTTTCTTTATTGATGACAATTTGTATTTATTTATTTTTTCCTCTATTGATAAATCCCAGCTCTTAGAGCATAGCGCCACATCTAGCAACGGGTTCAACCACACCTCCTGTTTAAAAGTTTCAGTTACCTCCTTATTTAGCTTTGCTCTAAGCAACTTGTTGAATCACATGACCTAAAATTTTTTGGCCATTTGGAGATTTCTGAGAAAAATCTTGAAATCTTTGTCAATACTGGCCCAGAAGTTTAAGAAAAAAGAACGTATTAGTAATAAAACATAGAAAATTTTAAATAAAAAAATGTAAGGAACTTTACAAGTAAATACTTTTTCCAGTAATGTTTGCCTTAAAAAATTACTAAGGTTGTTTGCATTCCATCAATTCACAACTAATATCGTACCTTTGGTCACACTGCCCCCATGAGGCTGATATCTGCTATTACACAATTATATATTTTTTTCTTTTTTGAGTAAAATAACTCAAAAGTTCAGTCAGTAAAGATCTAATGATTTTTTTTAATCATCGTGCACATTTACAACTAATATAGTTTAACAGCTAGATGTATTCATATTCTGAACACAATCAATAATTGCTGTCTACCATAATGCGTCATTCAGAAAGAGGTTTATCATGCCAGAAGTAATACTCAGTCATACTAATAATTTTCACCTTTAATGACAGGAAACAAAAATGAAATGTTTTTTTTTTTTTTTTTATGTAACTGAAGGTGAATTAGGTCTTAGCTTCTCCTTTTCTTTTGCATTGTGGGAAACGTTGCTGAAGATCTTTTTATTTCAACTGTTCTATCCTGTTTTGTTTTCTCTTACAAGGAAGGTACATGCTACATACCCAAAGTCCCTTTCCGTGGAGCTCCGTGCAGCGATGCTGCGGGAACACAGAAACCTTACAAGTGGATCATGAAGCAGCTCAGCAGCCCAACATCGTCCGGCAGACTGTGGGACGATGTGCAGAAAGCTCCATACTTCTATTATAAGGTGTGCCTTTTTTTCACTCTACTCCTAAATGATTAATAAAAAATAAAAAAAACAAGGAATGCATATATATATATTTGTTGTGATATGTCTTTGACTGGTTTCTTCTAGGATGAGACGGGACAGACCCATCAGGTCTGGTACGATGACCCACAAAGTCTTGTTCCCAAAGCAGACTACGTAATGGCTAAAGGCCTAAGGGGCATCGGCATGTGGAACGGCAACATTTTGGACTACAGTGACGACCCTGTAGCCAGGCAGCAGACCGCACTGATGTGGAATGCCCTGTTAGGATCCAAGATGGGATGAACTGAATGCTGCTGCGGTCATTTTTACTGAGCACACTCCTGAATAGACTCATTTTGTAGAGGCAACAGGGCGTGGTGTCTCCTCCTGATCAGGGGTGCTGATTTGCACATAAACTTGAGTTTTATCTGTAATGACGTGAATTGCTAACAAACACAATCATTTTAGATTTATTTGCACTGATTTAAGAAAAAAAACCGTTCCAGACTGATTTATTTTTTTTTTTTTACTCTGTTGTTTAATAAAGCTTTTACTCATTAATTTCATAGACTGTCTACTGTTGTATTATTGGAAAAAAACAGGAACAAACAGAATGGAATTCAGTTGCTGGAAGTTACAGTAACAGATTTCCGTGGCCATTGGTCTTTATTTAAAAGTAGCTAAACAGGAAATGAGAGGAAAGAGAGGAGTAAATGATATGATCTCTGGGTCCAAACACATGCCGCTTGCTTAGTCTCTGCGCCTGGGCTGTGCTCATTACAGAATATTTGGCCCATTTACTGCTGCAAACCTTTCTCCCATTTGATTACTTTAATTGCTTGGAAGAGCAGTTTTGTTGACATTGATGAAGCTGTATTTAACTTGTGTTTTGCTCCATGATGTGTTTCCGCCCCATCCAGGAAGGAGATGACTGATTCTTCTTTTGAGCGAGTTCAGCCTTCAGGTCTCTGAGCTCAGTAGCAGCCTGCTCTTTCAACTTGTGGGAAAAACAAAACAAAGATAACATTTGTCTTGCAATCATTTTGGATCTTCCATGGTCTTAAATTAGAATATCTTGGAAAATGATGTGTTTAGTCATGACTTATGTTTACCTTTATCTCTGTTATCAGCTTCATCTTGGAATCTTCTAGCTTCCTCTTCAGGTTGTCGATCTCTTGGGTTTCCCTCATGATCTGAATGATGAGCTCATTCTATTTCCAAAACATATTTTTGCGATTAACAAACCAAAACAAATTGGAATGCTTTCTCTTTGGTAGCATCCAAGAATGTTAAAACATTCACATCTAAATATTTCCCTGTAAAATGGTTGAGATATCTTGATTTCCAAAACCACACATAAAAAAAAAAAAAAAATGAAACAGAAAATGTAGAAGTTCTGATTGTTTCCATATTAGAGTTTTGAAATAAATCAGGCAGGTGGGCTTAAAACAGAAGTTTTGAATACTGTGTTATCATGGATGAAATTTCCAGCTTCTACGTATTTTAATAATCAGCTATTCTGTGTTTTAGGGCCTATTTTTTACAGATTAGCTCTTCGGAGTTTTGATTTTTAATGAGATGGTAGTCTTACAGGCTAAGCAGTATCCCCTAGCGCCAATAGGATTTTTGTGGTTATTGACTTATTCCCAAGTCATTTTATTTTTTTTATGTTTACCATATTCATTTTACATTTCTGCTTCAAAAACTGGCATATTGCTTTCTAAAATTGTTCAGTTTAAAATATTATAGGAGGATAGAATGAAATTGATCAGAAACATCTTCTAATTTCTTCTTTAGTGAGGATTTGGTTGAAAGCGGATCATTCAATATGTGGTTTAAATGATTCTGAGGAGCACCCTGTGCTGCATAAAGGCAATAAAGTTAGGTAACAGAGGTATAAAAGCACCTTAGCTAAATGCCAGAGTCACAAAATACTAAACTTGTTCTTAACTTTACTGATGTTATTTATTACAGATGGTCTAAAATAAAGATAGAAAGTTTTAAAAATGTATCTTAAACTGTCTATAATCCTGTAAATTACTACCAATGCTTTAATAATTCAGTCCTCTTTTGCAGATTTGTTTATATTTTAATACTAACATGATAACAATGCAACTGCTATGCCATGAATTTTGAACTAATTAAATACATTAGATATTATGCTAATTGGGTCATTCTCCTTTAACTGATTGGATTGTTTTCTCCAATAAAAGTTTCATTCACTTATAATAACACTATAATGAGTTTGTCTATTTAATTGAATCTGTTCTTAATATGTTATAATGTTAATTATGTTGTGCAGCGGACCATGTGGATTTTATTGCACCTTTTCTGATGACCTCCCCTGCCTCCGTGCTTTCTCTCTGGCTTGGAGCTGATGCAGGACTTTGTTATAAAATATCTCCAGTTCTTGTCTCAAGTTTCTCAGATGTTCCTCCAGTGGAGTTGTTGCCTTCTTGGTTTCAAAGTATTTCTTTTTCCAGGTGTCCCGAGCTTTATATTAGTGGAGACGTGGGAGAAAAGTAGTACAAAAGATTTTTTTCAACATAAGGTCTAACTTTTTTCCAAGGAGTCGATGTCCCACCTTGATTCCTGCGGTGTCGGTTCTGAGCCAACAAGTCTTTTCCTTTCCACAATAGCTGCTGTCTGGTCCATTCCAGCTGCTTTCTCTCCTCCCTCACCAGTTTGATTTCCTCCATTAGATCCTCTCCTTATTAGAAATAAATATTTTCATTAATACAATGGAAGCTCAAAAATGAGGGCTTTCCTTACTTTTTATGAGAAACACTAGTGAGGCAGAAGCTGCTTTACTGCTGGCCAAATCTGGACCTTGGGGTGAATTTGTGCACTGAACTTGTTGCGAAGACACAGCTGGACATTCCAACACCTAAAACAAGAAATGAACTTAGTTACAGTATAAATACCGACTTAAACAAACGTTTAAGTCGGTATTAAAAAATAAATCAACAAATGTTGATTTATTTTTTGTCAGAAAATATCCTGCACATTACCCCATTTGTTGTTGTTTTTCTGATGCAGCTCTCAGTGTGTCGATCTTTCAATCTTAATTTTCCAACACTAAAACATACAAGTACAGCTGAAAAAAATCTAGACATCAGATGTATTTTTCTTATAAAAGGACTAAATACACTGCAAAATGATCATTACTGTTTGCAAATACACACAGCAGCAAGAACCCTAACTTTTCCATTTAAGTGTATTTATATAGCGCCAATTCACAACACACATCAACTTAAGGCAATTTATAGGGACAAAACAATCAGATTGGCTAAAAGTTTCTGTCAAAGAAAACAAGTTGATTGCATTTGAGTCATTGACTTGCAGGGCATGCTCCTCCTGGATGAATTTGTGGTGATGATTTTAGCTGTATTTTGTTGTTGACTCTTCAGCAATCCCTCACACCAAGCATTCATGTAGTGACAGTGGAGAGGAAAAACTACATTTTAACAGAAAGAAACCTCCAGTAGAACCAGGCTCAGTGTGAGTTGCCATCTGCCGGAGCCAACTGGGGTTCAAGGAGATAGAAGCAGATATACAAAAGGCAACTGTCAACTAGCTCTACAGGTGGTGCCGTCCTGGCCCGTCCAGGAAACACACAGCCAGGCAAATAAGCTTCCTGCCAATTCTCATGTCAGAGGATGAAAGAGAGCACATACAGTTAGTCACAGTAAAAGAAACAGGACTACACTGAAAAACAAGCTGCAACATATACTGTATAAACAAAGATGTTGATGGCCACAACTGATATTTCAATCCAGGATGAAGTTAGAGCTGAACAGGAACAGATCAAATGAAGCTACTATGAGAGGAAAAAGCAGAGAGAGCATAAAATTATGAGGGGAACTTACAATAATGCAGAATGGGAGAATAGAAAAAGAACGAAGCAGAATGATGAAAGGTTGTCCCTATGTCATTCAGCACTCCAAGCCTATAGCAGCATAAATAAAGAAAATAGCTCAGGATAATCTGGCTAGTAGGGTAAAGGTAGATCCAAGGAGTAATGTCTGTCCAGGCTGAATTAACCTCCACCGGGGAACTTTTTAAGATATATGGTGTGGTCTGATGAAAGTATTTGGTTTAAATTATTTGGGCAATAGTAAGAAGGCTTCCAAGTATGTTACAATGTACCTGTCTGTGAGCAAAAAACATAAATCTCCGTCCTCCAGAGACTCAGCTGCCCCTGAAAGTCTGTCTCTGTGTTGATGTTTGGTTTTTCTCCAGGTCTCCTCATTTTCTGGTGAACACATTGCCTGGCCTGGATCAGCCTCACATGTCTCCAAAGCTATAGACACACAAAATGCATTGGTGTTATTCTATATAAAAGTTTTGTTACTGAGCTGAAAGGTAGCAAAACACTTTTTGAATTACAAAATAGTTTTTTTTAACATCAACCAAGATAAATATTTATAGCTTTAGTGATCATTACAGTATTTTAAATAGATATTAAAAGATGCTGTTCTCTTCTTTGTATTAAATGGACAGAGACTTTAATATTCTGCTTAGTGATTTACTGGACAATAGAACAGGATATGTACTTAATGTTCATATAGGGTATACACCAGAAAACACACTATAATAACAAATTAAAACAAAACAAAAACTAATCTGAAAGCTGTTAGTAATATCTTAAATATGCACAAACCAATAAAATGAAAAACTGAATAGAAACATGTTGAGATCCCATGTGAAAATAAGGATCTGCTATCTCCCATTAATATGATGTCTGGTGTGTGTGACGGTCTAAACAGTTTTAAAGTTTTGGAAAAAACACATTATTGAGTGTTGAGCATAAAAAAAAAAAAAACATATAATGTATCATCAAATTTCCATCCTATAAATGTTTCTAGGGGTTTTTGAAAACAAGAAATGTAGTGAAAATGTCCTAGCTGTTAGTACTTTTAAAATGAAAGAGTTTATTTTAAAAGAAGCATAATTGAGTTTTCATTAGACTCTTTCTTTATTGTGTTGATCATTCTTACATAGCTTAGCAAAATCGTGTTGAGAAAAGGTAATGAATCACTGCTTTAATACCTTTTCCAAGTGAAACAAGCTGCATTGCCCTTTGAATCCCAGGCTTCTCCTCACATCTCTCTGGCTCTGTTCTCTTGATAAAACTCAGAGCTTCATCAGAGTAGGTGGAGCTGTTTGCACCTTCTTCATCTTCATGTCCCTCTTCCATACCGGAGCCAGGAACCCGTTGCCGGGAACATTGCGTTATGTGAGGGAATTTAATGGGCTTCTTTGTCCCCATTGTTCCGTCGTACATCTTGGAAAGGTTGGGGCAGGCCTGCTGCTCTGGGGAGCTGCTGCTGGAATCCAGGGTGAAGGACTGGGGGCAGAAATTGCTGTCTGCCTCTGGAGTGTGCAGCAGGTACAGCTCTGGCTGAGCCGCCTGCAGAAAGGTAACAGCTCATTTAAAGGTCTGAACAGATGTAGTTACTTAAAGTAAGAAACTGATCCACTTGGCAGGATAGCAATAAGACCCATGGACTGAACATACATAGGGTGGGGCGAATGTTTTCACTTTCAGATCAGTCTCCTGTTTGCTTTTGACCTGTAAAAGACAAGGATTTTATTGTGAGAGGTGCAGCAGTAAAAGTGCTATACTCCCCATTCAGACCCTTTTCAGTCTTTTTTATAGTTATCCTGAATAGAGCACTGTCTGCGTAGTGACACATTCAGCTTTACTAACAGGCTCTTAACTGCAAGCTGCACTCACCAGCGCCAGACTGCGGCCAACACATTTCAGGAAGGAGAATTTATGGATGCTCCTCTCTGACCCAAGGAGAGCCCCCAACTCACCCCTCAGAGTCTGCAGGGTGGTTTCAGGAAAAACTCTAACGGCACCAGGAGGGAAAAGCGACACAAGGATAAAACATGTGTCACAGGCAAACAGTTAAACCATAGTTAAATTAAAAAAAAACACAAATACATTTTTTTATTAATTTCATGTAGGCGGATTTAAAATTAACAATCAGAGCTATTATTGTAATTGTTGTGTAATGTTTAATTCCATTAAGTTGGTATTTTAGGCTGTAATTATTTAAAATTAAGTTGATCATAAATCCATAAACAACCTATTTACTTTTAGTCTTCTTTATATTTCTTTAAAAAGCATCAAATATATAATTAAAGTTTGATTAGCATCACTTTTATATAAACATAACAAGAATATATAAAAGGATTTTACCAAGTGAAAAAAAAAACAGGGACATTTCTGTACAGGATAAGGCATTGCAAAAATATACAAACAGTTTCAATTCATTGATACTTTTGTCACATTACAAAGAAAACAAGCGTATATTATTGCAATTTTAATGCGTCAAATAATACTGAGTATCATATGAATAAGTAAAATTAGAGAAGGTACATTCTCAGAATTGTTCGTGACGTAAAATCTAAGTGTGGTGTGCATTTATATTCTGTCCCTTTTATTCTGATAGTCTTAAATTAAATGAAATTTAACCAATTCCTACCAAAAATCTCTATAAAATGATACATTTAATAATTTTGTTTTTAATATGAAAAGGAAACCCCTTAAGATTCAAATAAAAAGTTACCTTCCAGCCGAACAACAACCCTAAACATACAGCTTGAATTGTTTCATATCAAAATGTTAAATAACCCAGACAATTTCTGGACCCAATACCAGTGGAGAACCTGCAGCAAGATTTGAAGACTGATATTAACAGATGACTGAGCCTGAACTTTATTTTAATAAAACAGAAGTTTTAGTCTCTAGATGTGAAAAAAAGTGGTAGACAAACCCCCAGAGGACATCCAGCTGTTACAGTAAAGGGTGTTTCCCAAAACTATTAGTTACAAGAATTCAATAGTGCACACTCTACTTTCCACTGTTTTATTAGTCAAAAAACAAAAACTGATCTTTTTCATTCACCCAGGTATAATATACTACTTTATATCAAACCATCAAGCTAATTTCTAATATAATTCATCAACGTTTGTGGCTGATCTGTAAGAAAATGTGAAAATGATTTAGAAAATACTCCTGCAAAGTGCCATACGGTTTTAATAGACATTATTTAAAACTACCTTTTATCATTTTGAACTCTAATATTGATTAAACATTTGATGCACTTTCACCTGATAAAGCCAGCAGAAATAAAGCCCTCTGTGGCTTCAGCTGGAACTTTATTGAGTTTCATATTCCATAGGTCAGCTGGTGCAAACAGCACATGGAGCTCCACAAACTACACAAAGAAAATTGATGAATTTAAGGGTACACCATAGACGCTTGCTTAGCCTACATTTTTTTAACATCTTGAAAAGTATATAAACCATACCTTGCTGCTGACCGGTCTCAGTTTGTCCTCTGTATATTTCATTGACTCACCAGACACCTCCATTATTAGTCTGGTTCAGAGCAAGTAAAGCCGTAAAACACTGAACTGAAGAAAGGCTGTGGGTATTTGCTATGGGTAGAGTTGTGTTTGCATCTGCTGTGTGACAGCAGAGACTGCCTGGAAGCAATATGCTACGATTAAACACAACTGTGTTTCTTGAATGAGAGCGCCAGCCTCTGTTGCTCTGGAGCTGATGATGGCACTGGCATGCCAGGACAAAAAAAAGAAAAAAAAAGAAGTATATATATATATATGTATATATATATATATATATATATATATATGGGGC